AGCGGGACAGTATTTCATGCCGGCACACCGCCTGCAACTTTACAAGGCGCAGGTTCGGCCGCTCATGGAATACTGTTCCCATCTCTGGGCTGGGGCTCCCCAGTACCAGCTCCTTCCACTTGACCGCATCCAGCGCAGAGCGGCTCGAATCGTCGACGACCGAGTGCTTTCCGATCGGCTCGATTCACTGGCGCTGCGAAGAGATGTTGCATTTCTTTGCGTATTTTATCACATCTATCACGGGGAGTGCTCTGAGGAATTGTTCGGATTAATCCCAGCCGCCAAATTTCGTGAACGCACTACACGGCAAACATCCCGATACCATCCACACCATCTGGATGCTTGGCGGTCCACCACTGTATGTTTCAAAAGGAGTTTTCTTCCGCGTACAACCTCTGTGTGGAATAATTTACCACCGGTGATTTTTCCGGACCGATACGACCTGGGGACCTTCAAGAAAAGAGCTTACTCCTTTCTAAAGGGCCGGCAACGCACCTGCAATTCCCCTGGTGTTGCGGTTGATCATGGGCGGCGGTAGTCACTTAACATCAGGTGAGCCACATGCTCGTTTGCCCCCTCTTCTATAAAAAAAAAATCTGTATGTTTATTACTTTAAGAATTATTGTTGTTTGAACATAGCGTATGCGTAAACACAAAAGGCCTTTGTTTAGTGACAACTGGTACTACCTGCCTAGGAGTAATAGGAGTAACTCAGACGAAATAAAAACTCAGGAGTAATAGTGTTATGTGCTGCCTGCTCTCGGATTGATGCAATGATGTATTCCATTCAAGAGCAGGCCAAAAATACTGTAAGCTTCTATCCAAAAAAAAATACAGTTTGACAGTTGATTAGTTAAATTAATTGTCCCTCGCCTTGCGTTGTGATCGCTACTTTCACTTATTTTCCGTGCTGTTTACATGCTGTATTACTGTTTATCGTTAAGAGTGTGATACAAATATGGCAAATCATCAATATTTAGCGCAACATATTGCCGACATACACCTCGTGTATGGCTTTACAATGGAAGTGCAAATCGAGCTGTACAAGAATATCGACGAAGGTATCCTAACAGGACTACACCATGTCGCCAAACTTTTGTTAACGTGCACTCGAGATTAGCGGAAAGGGGCATTCAAACTACTGTTAATGGACATGCTCGTTTGGTGTCGCCCGAAGATGAAGAAGAAGTGCTTAGGCTAATAACAAGTAATCACCGACTAAGCGTTCGACGTATGGCACATTGCAGGTGGCACATAGAGCTTTAGCTTGTCTACAAGCTGCAGGTGGCCACTTTGAGCAACTTCTTTAGATATTTTAATTGTAGGTCAATTTTGTAGAACATTTAAATATAAACTATAATAAGTAACTTAGGCAGTGCCAGTTGTCACTAAACAAAGGCCTTTTGTGTTTGCGCATACGCTATGTTCAAATAACAATAATTCTTAAAATAATAAATATACAGCTGTAAACTTTATGTTTTATTGTACCTCAACTCAAAAACTGTCGATCTAGTAAAAAAATAAAAAGAGTAAACGGGGTTGTTTTTGCAGTAATTTACAATAATTTGCCGATTAGCATAATTTTTTGATATTTATTTGAAGTAAAATTTTTTTTCTTTAAAGTTACGAGTATGTGAACAATTTTTTTGGTAAAGGAAACGGTAGACAATATTGTTGTCCTTAATCTTAATAGTTTATAGTCTCATTTGAAAACATAAATATAATTTAATTTATGTACTGAGCTATTTTCATTTATTGGGAATCATAATCGTTTAGTTTAAAATCTCGATAAATCATGTACGAGTAACTTCTAATTAAATAAGTACCGCGAATATTAAGGCTTTTTGATGTTGTAGATATGATATGTTATATAATATTTATATAAAATTATAACGCGAAAAATTCGCGGGCATCCACAAGTGGTTATAATGTTTAATTAGGGTAATTAAAGCAAAGATGATGCTGGGTTTAATGTACAAACAAATTTTATAATTAATTTGACAGTAACACTAACCGAGGGATACATTCGTTAAAAAATACATATTAAAAATTATATACGTTTCTGAACACATATACATACGTAAAAATGTATTTTCAAAATTAAATACATGCCTAAATAACCATAATGTCCGATTATAAAACATGAAAGCGAGAAAATTAAGAAATAAAAACAGTAGAAATTAGAAAGTTGTGTTAGAGAAAGATAGCCATGACTACTCTTGCAATGTATGGTGGGCACATAACAAGTGTTTGAACGAAGCCTTATTAGTAGACGCGCATAGATTTTTTAAGGTTATCCGTTCCAAAGTCGAACGTAAGTCTAGATCCAGAGTATAATTGTAGACTTAAATATTTTAAAATAGTACTCTAAAGGAGTTTGTGATGAACCTTAGGAACTTTAGAGCAAATACCCAAAACTAAAACTTGCATATCATTAGCATGCGAGTTTTAGTGTTATACTTATTGATTCTTACGACAAATATAACTTTTTATTGATTATATGGTTATTAGTCTAGATTTCAAAAACCTAGTTGCTTCAGTTTCGACAACTAGGAGATTAAGATCGTGAGCGGTTGGTATAATATATATATATATATATATATATATATATATAATCTGAGTTTAAAGTCAGTTAAAGCTATTATTTTTATAGATATTCATTTTCTAAGTCGCAAACTCAGTTCACAAATGGTGTTGTTTCATTTTATACAGGGGATTAACTCTGGGTATAAAGAAATACACATCCTTAATAGAAAATAAAAATGAAGACATATCATCAACCCTGAAGTCTTCAATGATTGTTTCAATTACCAGTGATAGATTTTGGAAAATATCACTTCAAATTTTGCAGTCACTCAGTACAGCATTTATTAATTTTTTATTTTTTATTTATTTATTTAAGAAATTTATGGTTACAAAGATAAATAGTTTTAGTGTAAACATGAACCCATTAGAGTTTTTCCGTACACCATGGCTGTCGACACATTATTCTAATTAACACATTATAATACATTACATTACCAAATTTACATTAATATTATTATCAACTTAAATTAGGTGCATCAAATGTTATGTTTCTATTTGACAAACTATTTGTGGGTACATAAATATAAAATAGTTCTAGGCGGTGAGTGTAATTAATGTAAAGTCACATAGTGAATTTATTACATTCTGTGAATAATCGTGATTATAAAATATATTTTCATAAATTTATAGTAAGATATGTTGGTAAAGTAAAGCATTGTAGAAGTATATTAAGATAAATACGCGTAGCAGTTTTTTTTTCTAAGAAACGTTACTAGGTATAACACTAGTATTTTCTACTGTATCGTGGAAGCAGTTACATACATTAATTGCTATAGGACAAACATCCGGACACTTAACAATTATTTGAATACCATAAAAACACTCGATGCGTGCGGGGTACGCACTTGCGATTCTGCAGCGCCGCAACTAAACGATCACTGATCTACGGAGCCGTCAGCAATGGTGATGTTATAAAATAGAAATTGATATTAGCTATGCAGTAAAATATAATATGAAGTATATTACTTTGCGCTTTCGAATGTTATTTTATGAAAGTTTAGGAGAATTTTATACTTTGTAACTAATATAGGCGGTTCTTATTTAACGAGCGAGCTATGAAGAGAAATCTACTAAATGCATTTATTTATTGATTAAGATTCCAATTTTTTGCAAATTGATTTTTATTTTAACGGACTTAAATAAAGAAGTGGCGATGTTTTCGATACGTGTTTTCTTATAGGATAAAGGTGTCAAACGAGCACACAGTCCACCTAATGGTAAGTGGATACTGTGGCCCATAAACATCTACATTTAACCTCGATTAAGAATCAAAATACAGATACGTTGTCACTCTTGAGGACTAAGATGGAATGCCTCGAGTCCAGTAAAACGGGTCTCCAGTTATCTACACTCACCATACGAAACACAGCTAACTATTTTAGGGTATAACCATTTTTTTAATTACTTCTTGAAAGAAAACTCAATTATTTGATTATGGGAATAATTGTATTACATGATTTAAGTAAGTCAAAAAAATATAGTGTAGGTGTAGTGAATGCGATTTTTTCATCTAATCATTTGCCTCAGTAAAAATGTAAATGTACTTTAAAAGACATGAAAGCATATTTAAGCCTTATTGACTGTCTTATATATATTTGTCTTTTAATTTCAGGCTTTTGGTTACAACTTCAGTGCCCATGAAAATGTTAAAAACTGGTACGAGAGGACCAAAACTGAATTAGAACCCTATGGGTACGAAGACATTAATGAAAACGGGGCGAATATCTTAGCTTCGTTTCTTAAGAAAGATTAAATAATTGTATTTCGCTCAAACCTTTACACATGTACCTACATAGATAGGTAGTAATTTTTTGTGAGATTTTATAGTGTAGGAACAGAATTTAATTATTTTTCTTATTGTAAACCTATTAAACTATTTCGAACTTATTGATAGTGTTTCATTCTAGTACAGAAAAATGCAAGGCGTACATCACAATTGTGTTCATAAAGGAGATACATTAAGCGCTTAATCTGGTTAAAGATTAAGAATACGAATCGCGAGTGTTCTTTTGAATAATTCTGTTGGACAAAGAATTATTCTGTTGGACAAAGGGTAGTAATATAATATCGGACAGTATCTGTTTGCATGAGAACGTCCTGTCGATTTGTTGGAACTAGTCAGGCATTTCATAGTGGGCACAACAATGCGTCTGCGCTCGCAGGCGAGTCGCGCCGTGCGTACGTTCCACGTTTTGAAAACATTACACTCATACGATTGTTCTAATTTGAAAAAATCCATTACAAAACGATCAAACACTGAGCTGTTTTCGCAAACAATCGACAATTTCAACTGAAAGACTTTCGTGTTCCAACTCTTGTCGAGGAAAGACGTGTTAATTTTAGTTGAAGATGTAGTGAGTGATGTGGAGTTTATTCGTTACTAACCTCGTATAATTTATTGGACTGTTTTCACAATGAGGCGTTTCCCGGTGGGTATTGATTTACACTACATTTGCTTCATACTTCTGTATTCATAACGGAGAAAATTAAAAAAAATTAATAGCAAAATCCGCCAACACCTACGATGCCAGTCGTATGCAATTATTTTTAAAGGTCATAACAAACTGCGACCTTGATATATGGTTTTTCTCTGATAAAAGTAAATTGAATAAGAAAAACAATAAACTTTATTTATTTATTATTGAGTGCTAAAATAAATCATTTTGAGATGTAAAATTATATCGTTGACCTGCCCTAACACTATGATAATATCTTTTACTTATAAATTCTTAAGTTATTTCACATTTTGCCTTTTATTGCTTATAATTTAAAATGTTTTTTTAATAGTTTTGATGTCTTATTTTACGTGCACTTTTTTGTCTCTTCTTTTTTGTCTTTTTTGTCTTGTAGACAAGTGGAATAATATAGTTAGCTTGGAGCTAAAAAACCAAAAAAGCTAAAAAGGTACCATGTACAAACAAAAGCAGGTACATTACATGATAACTTCATAAACTTCGTGAATAAAAGTTCGTAAGCCCAGCGAGCCAAATAAATAATAAGGAATTATTGGTTTATTTTATTTTTTATATTATTTAAAGTTTTTCCAACTTTTTGTTAATAATAGGGTCTTTAAAACCACTAAGGATATGTTAAAGAAAATCTAGATTATTGATGGGGGTCTATCGGTACTCTGTTTAAATTTTCTTTTACTTCTTGACGTTTACGAGGTTAAAATATAACGTACTAACTTTAGTTTGTACATATCTACTAATCCAACAGCAAACTTAGTAAGAAAACAAGCTTGCAATGCTACAAAATATACGACATTAAATAAAATTACTGCAGAAACTGCACTTAGCAAAATGCATAGTCAAGTTGAGCGGTCGTGTAAAGGATGTGATCGTTAATTTAACAACTACGTTTGAACAATTCATTGTTATGATGCCACATTAGTTAATGTGTTATATTATGTTTGTTTACCTCAAACTCTGAAAACAAGATTGTACAACCAGTGTATGTTGCCAGTGATGATTTATAATTAGAGATGGGCCGAATATGGATTTCACCGAATACGAATATTCGGCCGGAAGTTCGGTAAAACTTTTACCGAACCGAATATTCGGCCGAACATTATTCGGCAGGACTTAAAATTAAGATATTTTAAGTCCTGCCGAATAATGGTTATCTGCAGTAGAATCAGAGTAACCAACATAGCCCAACGGATAAATAAGCTGAAGTTGTTATTACCATTCTTATTCTTCGATTATGTTATTCTACGATCCGACGGAGAAGAAAGTTTCTTGAGTGTCAGCCTCGAACCCCCCCCCCTCCCCCCACTAGATGGAAGTACCTGGTAAGGCATGCAAAAAGTCGATGGATGCGGGTGGCTCAGAACCGTGCTTTGTGGCATTCTGATTATATTTGCAATACGATAAATCATCGGGTAGTTGTCAAAGTCCTGAGACTGCGATGCGGGCCGTGAGTTCAAATCTTTTCGAAGGAACATTTACTTTTGAATCTGGTTATACCGTGATTGTTCCAGTGTCTCTTAAACTTCATCCTAGTATACCTCCGATTTATCCCATTCACATAATATCTGGCTCGGGTAGATGGCGACGGAGTTTCTTGTAATATTTTAATACCTTCATATTGGCCGTGGCTTGAAGCCCACAACGATTGGTAGGTCCAATATGAATGTAAGTGAATTATGGGGGAGGAATGGTCTCTTGTATTACGATGCATTATTCTACTTTAGATGAATGCATGTGGCTCAGGCCAGTCCAAGCCTCTCTTTATGAAAAACCATATCTGATGCTGGTATTAGAGAAGGCTGATTTTTTCGATGGCGGGCATGAGCCTTACAGTGATCCTTTCAAAAAGTGTTAAAGATGGAACACTGTTGGGATTTAGTTGGTGCAAGTCCAAATTACGACTTTTGATGTTTCTGCGAGACGGGGGACTACCACATACAGGTTTGATTAATATTCGGAGAAACATTGTCCGAATATTAATCTAACCTGTATGTGGTAAGTGTACACAACACGTACACATGTAATACAATAATACGTGCAAACAAGATTTTTACGACCGACTGATGGCAGATATCCTATCTAATATACCGAAGCCGAATGCTACAGACTGATGACGGAGCACTATCAACTTATTTTCTTACGTCACAGCTGCCATACACCAATATAATCCCTGGTGATATGAAATACACATAAAGAAAATAAAAGCGTAAGTAAATTTATATTAATTATTTTTACAGAACCTGTTATGTTTTGTTTTGACGTTATCCATATCAAAAGCCGTGCAGTTCCCAACAAATCCTACCTCAGAAATGTCGGCAGATGAGAAAAATTTAATAAAAGGTAACAAAACTCTCGAACAATCTGATGAGAGCGGTCACGAAATCGATGTAGATGGTGAGGATATAAAAGACAAAAAGTATTTAGATGATGCAATGAAAACGATTTTGGACCCCAATACCGTCATACTGAAAACAAACGACGATATTGAAAGTTTCAAAATTCAGTTGGATGAATTAGATAAAGAAAACATGACAGTTGAAAACTTTATGGACGAAATGGACAAACTGAGCTTAGATGTTTGTAAATCATCACAGGCCTCATTGTGGTCTTATGTTACTGATATTAATAATGAAGCTAAAAAGAATAAAATGGTAAGTTATATAGGATTAGACATAAATAGATAATAGTTTTTTTTATATATTTAGAACATTATTATTTATATATTATATAATATTATTTAAACACACATATACACGTATATATATATATATATATATATTTATATTATATATATATATATATATATATATAATATACATATATAATAAAATATTTCATAATATTTTGGCGATAGAAATATTAATTCAAACATAAGTTAAATGAACCTAATTTCTAGGGGTTGTGAATTGGCACCATATTCTGAGGTCTTTAAAAAAATTGCGTGCGTTTATAAGCGATTTACAAACTTTTTTATTGTAAGATCTATCATTCAATTCATAATAAAGCTTTGCGTAGTCATATCATCAGAGGTCTGGAACTCTGGAGAAATGCGTTTTAAATTAAATTGAAATTGTTTTAAAATAATTGGTTAGTTTTGCCAGCAACGGGTGCGACGTGTCGAACACAAACTTTGTAGGTTTTTCTGAATATTTTAAGGTAGGAAAAAAATATTTGAAAAAGCCGGTTCCTAGTATTTAATGCCGGTATACCGCGAAATAGCTATTTCAGATACTTGATTTTTTTTCAGGGTTGTTTTTGCGATTAGGCCCTTATCGCTTTGGGCTCGACAACTTAAAAAGACAATGAATATTAAAATCAAATAAACTTGGTATATATATATATATATATATATATATATATATATATATATATATATATATATATATATATATATATTATATTGTTAATTATAATATATTTAGGTTATAGTTATTGAATACCATATATTATTTTTGCAACCTTTTTCCTTCGCATTTCGTACATTCGGAATTACGAACCAAATACATTGGAATAAGCATTTTTTAACATCGGAATAAGGTGCCTCCAATTTATTTTCATATTTATTTAATTAAGAATACAAATCAAGATCTAATAGCCAAACCTATTGTCTATTTCAAGAGTAGAAACAATACTGGTTTTGATAAAAGTCAGTCAAATCTTCAAAATGGTACAACAAATGCTTAATTTTCCATCTCCATTCAAGCTTTATTAAAAATACCGCAGAAATAGGTGCCCTTACCTTTGTTTGAAAAAAGTACATTATTTAATAATACTATGTAAATCGTACCAAATAGATTTTTGTTTATTTTCCTAAACAACAGAATTTCGGCAAAACTATGCCTTATATTTCTTCTAATTATAATATACTCGTAATAGTCATAAATTACGGTTCCAGATAAAAATTGCTGCAGTAGAAGACGAAATAAAGAAACAATACTGGAATACTATAAAAAGGAAATATATTAACGATGAACCATTGCTAAGGGACCCGAAATTGAAGAGGAAATTACGAATTATTAAGGAGAGGGGGACGAATGTACAGATGCCCCAAAGCAAAGTAAGAATAGTAGTATATAACTGTGTTCGCACTAGGTGATATAATTTATATTATTCATTTGTAAAACTATTAAAATATTCTTTCAGCAAAGAGAAGAAATAGATTCTATGCAACGAATTTGGAGTCGAGTTACAGTATGTGCATATAATGCAACAAACTGCAATAAAGAAGAATCAATACGAACAATAAATGGTTAGGCCGTATTTAAAAATTCAGATTATTTAATTTCCGATTGTTAACATTCCTAAAAAATAAATACATATAATTAAATGTTATTTTCTTTTCTAGATATAATTTCAGTCTTCAAAACTAGTAATGATACCAATGAGTTAGCGTATTATTGGAAAACTTACCGAGATGCAACTGGAAAGCAGATAAGACCAATTTTTAAAGATTACGTATTGAGAATGAATAATGTAGCGCAATCGGAGAATTTTACTGACGCTGGAGAAATGTGGCGGTATACATTCGAAGACGATAACTTTGATAAAACTGTTTGTAGACTTTGGTCTGAAATAAAGCCTTTATATGATACTCTACATACTTATGTCAGAGTGAAGTTGAAAACATTTTTTAAAGATGAGTTAGTCGATAAAGACAAGATGATTCCTGCGCATATTCTGGGTAAGTTTCCAAAATTTTTTTTATAACGTTCTTGCTGATTGCTCTCTTTTTGTACAATAACATCGGTACATCCAATGGATTTATGTATTTAATGTTGTTAATATATTAAAATATTATTGATTTATTAATATAATATTTTCTGCTCAATCGACAAATTCAAGCCTCCCGAACAAGCCGGTTTCCGAAGAAGCTTCAGTACCATAGACCACATACATACATACCCTGCGGCAGATTTTACTGAAGACCGATTAGTACAATCTGCCACTTTGCCTTGCGTATGTGGACTATGAAAAAGCCTTAGATTCTGTCGAATTCCGAATTCGGGCGGTGCTACAGTCCCTTCAGCGGTGCCAAGTTGATTGTCGGTATATCCAAGTGCTGAACTGTTTGTACAGTAGGGCTACGATGGCTATCCGAGTAACCAGAGTACGAAACCTATCCAACTGCCCAAAGGTGTAAGACGGGGTGACGTTATATCCCCGAAACACTTCACCGCTGCATTGCAAGACGTTTTCAAGCTACTGGACTGGAAAGGATACGGTATTAATATTGCCTTGCCTATTGATTTGCTATTGATTTGCCGACGATATAGTCTTTATGGCAGAATCGCTGTAGCACCTAAGCATTGTGCTCAATGACCTTAATAGTGTCTCCTAACGTATAGGCCTTAAGATGAACATGGACACACCTATGCCAGTAGTTGTTGGGGGCACTAAGCTCGAAGTTGTTGACGAGTACGTCTACCTGGGATTAATATTCCACAGGTCAATCGACGGATTCAACTCATTTGGGCTGCGTTCGGGAAATTACGACAGATCTTGTCGTCAGGTATATCTCAAAACTTGAAAACTAGATTGTGCAACCAGTGCATGTTGCCAGTGATGACTTATGGATCTGAGATGTGGTACTTCAGTGCTGGCCATAGGAGGACGCTCAAGGCCGCTCAGTGAGCTATGAAGAGGGCTGTGCTCGGGGTTTCTCTGCGTGATAAGTTTAGAAATGAGGATATCCGCAGTAGAACCAGAGTGACCGACATAGTAACTGATTAGTAAGCTGAAGTACCAATGGGCAACTCCCCACTCACACAAATAGTTCACAAGATGGTAAGTGCAACCCATGGGCACCTGCCGCCAACTTCAAACAAAGAGTATCTTAAATGTGCTATCACCTATTTAGGAACTTAATGTCTCGTACTTTATAATGATGCTCGCTCTCTTCATATCCTTAATATCGAAACAGTACTGCAACGTGTATGCACACAGCTGTTTATTTGAAAAACAGACTATCCAGAAAAGATATTAAAGTTTTAAAGAACTACCGTGTTACTTCGGTGCTGGCTAATTAATCTTGTCTGGTTTTTGCTACAATCTGTGTAATGGCATCTTGGATATTTCGTAAGGACATGATGTAGGCGTGTCATTTGTCATACCTGCATATTCATTTCTAACACCTAGGGCAAAATATAAGGAGTATTCGAGTTTCCTCAATAATATTATTTTTTTTATTTTAAATAGTACGGATTTTCTTTTAATCGCGTCAAGTGGTCAATATCGCTATGGTCAAAATCGAAACGAAAAAATAACATTCAAATTATGTATAAAACACTATTCGTTTAACCTAACCGTGAATATATCAATTACTTGTATAAGTGCCTTCTAAAATAATTATAGCAAACTTGTTAAACAGAAACTTGTTTCAGGCAATTTGTGGGCTCAAGAATGGCAAGCAATCTACAATAAAGTTGCTGCATACCCTAACATTTTCAGGCCAACGCTAAAAAATAACAAAAGCTTTCAAGCGAGGGACCTTTTCGACGCTGTCGATGAGTTTCATCAATCACTTGGTTTCGCGAGTGCAAACGAGACATATCAAGACTTAAGTGAAACTATGACATCTGCTAACTGTTTGCCTTCCAGTCATGATATGTGCGATGGAGTAAATTACAAGTAATTTTTCCGTATTACTTTTCTTATTTAGCTATTTTTTTAATTTATTAAATTATATTTACATCACTCACTGTGAGGACTGAGATGTAATGCCTCGTTTCCAGTAAAAAAGGGTCTCCTGTTCTCTACACTAACCATACGAAACACAGTAGCGTTAAGCTGGTATTCTCGGTCCTTCCTCCTTCCCCGGTCGAGGCGACCCATTCGTGCTACAAATATACTACTAATTTAGCAGCAGTATGGCTCTACCACTTAAAAAATGTATGTCCTGCATTCGATATCTTATTCTGCTCTCGGAACATAAGTTTCCTATCGCATCGAATTTTTTTCGCCATCAGCGTGATGGTAAAATATAGATTCACGGCTCTGGCTTTTGCGTTAAACTACCTTTTCAGCCTTTGTAGCCGTGGTAGCTCAGATGGTTAACGCTCGCTGTAAATATAACAGAACGCGAGTAACCCGGGTTCGATCCCCGCCGGCACCAATGAAATTGTTAATTGCAATTTTAAGTGCTGATTTATCACGTGCTCGGCGGTGAAGGAAAACATCGTGAGGAAACCTGCATGTCTGAGAAATAAGGAAAAAAATATTTCGAAGACATGTGAAGTTCGCGAACATGCATTGGGGCAGCGCGGCGGACACTTATTTGCCCTAAAACCCTCTCAGAAATGAGGGGAGGCCTGTGCCCAGCAGTGGGACGTATATAGGCTGTAACTTTACTTTACTTTTTACCTTTTCACCTTTAAGTAAGGTATCCATGGCCAGTATCTGATGAGGCGTGTAGGTCTTTTTGGGCGCTATCTAAGACAGTATGTACATAATATACAAAGAAAAACCCTATCCTATCAGAGAAGGTGTTTTAGATATCGTGATTTTATTTATGTGTTCCTTTTCAAAGAGTAATTAAAATAAAATAATAATTAAATGGGAAACTTACATGGCAATACATGTGTGAAATATCTTTTCATTTGTCGATTTTAGGCTTTACTTATCCGTTTATCGTTCTTTCGTTAGAAACAACTATAAAAAAACAACGCCAACGCTGTATAATTGCAGTCAACTCAGATAGCGTCGCCGACGACGGTAATGCATAATACTTGTTGCATGTAAATGTGTATTTACTTTTAAACCGACTTCAAAACTTTTTTCTAGGTAACCAACTTTGATGATTCTTTTTTTATTTGAAAGCTTGTGCAAAATCAATCTGACCAGTAGTAGTTTTAGAGTTATCCCTAATAATACGTGTTTAATTGACTTCCACTACATTGATGATGTTCTCATTTTATTTATATTGAAGTCGGTTGTACAAAATTATTAATTTTAACACTTGTTTGTTAACCTTAACGATTTTTGGTACGATAACGATCCTGGACGAGCTCCGACCGTCCAAATTTACTCTGAGGTCCAGATTAATCAATCGGCCATCTTGCAACCAAATTGATTCAATTGACAGCATTCTGTACGACCGAAGGGATGTCGTCGGCTATACTGAATGGCAGTCATAATAATGCGTAGACAGAGAAACCTATAGACTAATGATTAGCGTGGCCTCGATTGAGAAAGGACGATAACAAAGTTTTAGGTATACAATAATCTTTATGACTTTTAAACATATTTAGATAAAAAATTTAATTTTCTAAGAACTGAACTGAACAAGTTTCGCCAATCTTAAGCTCACAGAACACTTTTATTCTCACTTACACCAACTTGTAAACTCCTTAGATCGCTACGAACTGTCAAAGTTGTTTAGCAAAGTGTAGTTTGCTAAACAAAAAAACCGGCACGGAGAAAGGGACAAACAATCACACCGCTCTGTCTTATTTCTATGCAAGACGTATGCATAAATCTATCTTTATCATGTGCGAATGCGAAAGAAAGCGTCAATTTGTCTATAGGTTTCTCTGTCTACGAAATAATGGGATATCGTCGTCCTTTTCTGCCACCAGGGCGGCGCCACTTTTGGTATGAGGTGAAAAATTTGACAGATTTCATAATGGGAAATTAATTTGTTAGGAAAATATTAGAGTTTAATGTCTTACTGAATTATTAGTTATTTTATATTAATTAGATTAGAAATAAATAAATCAATCTACGTATATTCCTAAAAGTCGAAAAATTTAAGAAGAGTTAAAAGCTTCCAAAAAATTAAGGAGCAAACCACTGAGACATTGTTTTGTGTACGTATTAATATAATACTCTAGAAACTGATAAATTTTCTTTTGAAACTAACTTCATCTCTGTGCCTACTAGCGACATCTGGTGAGCTTATTAATAGATGATTATTATAATATATATAATTATAGGCCTAAATATAATAAAAATAAAATTGAATAATATTGAAATCTAAATCTCTAAATCGTACTACTTATTAAGATAAAACAAAAAAATGTTTCGATTTTTTTATAGGATAGGGTGATAAACGAGCACACAGTCCACCTGTAAGTAAGGGTAAGTGATTGCTGCGGCCCATAGACATCTTCATCTATCCTCGATTACGAATCAAAATGCAGATGCGTTGTCACCCGTGAGGACTAAGATGGAACGCTTTGTTTCCAGTAAAAAGGGTTTCCGGTTCTCTACACTCCCCATACGAAACCACACAGCAGCATTAAGCTACTATTTTACGCTGGTATTCTGTGAGAGCGTGGTCCTAGGTCCTACTCCGGTCAAGTAGACTCATTGACGTGCTACATCTATACTAATAATATAACTGCAGCATGGCTCTACCATGTAAAAACATAATGTTTATGCGTCGTTCATCGGTATAAACTTTGTATTATTTTTAAAACAATGTAGTATATTATAATGTATGTAAATGTATGTATATACATACAAATGCAATACAATGTATTTATAAACTAACAATTACAATGTATTTATAAACTAGCTGGTACCCGGTGCCTTTTCGCCGCAGAAAAATATTTGTGTAAGTATTTTAAATTTGGGAGATTTATATTTTCAATTACGGACGATACTACATTACACACACATACATATATATAAATATATATATATATATATAAGATCCGATAAGGCAGGTCTTGATATGCCTATGATTTAACACAATTTGAGAAATAAAATTAAGTCAAAGCTATAGTTATACGCTCAACTTTGATTGATCGTTTTTCATAGTACGCTATACTTGTTTCAAATGAATTGTTAAATCAACTACAATAAAATTACGAAGACTTCTTACTAGAAAGAAACGTAAACTTAATACAGGTGCCTATCCAATATATAAAAATAATTTTATTTGTTCGTATTTTATGCACTGCCATACCGTTCATCAGATTGTTGTAAAACCACAGAATAGATAATAGTACAAGAAGTAAAACTTTGTCATCATATTGATAGCACTTCCGCGAAGGATAAAGACATAGTATAAGTAACTTACAGTAGGTGGCGCGCGTACTACCGACACATTTATTTAAAAGTCTTGTATCATACAATTTATATAAGACTTTCAAATATATATATATATATATATTATATATATATATATATATATATATATATATATATATATATATATATATATATATAGGTACTCGTATACTTGCAGTAATTGTAATGTTTTGCCAGTCGTTCACTCTGGTTTTGCCAAGGTCGAAATGCAATCCGAGTGCATACGTATACTGAGCTTTTTTTTGAATAAGGCATATCTCATTTCAAACCACAATTCAAAACATTTATCACTCACTGGATTAAATGGAAATGATACGGTCAAATTTATTCGTAACATTATGAACATAACATTAAATTTTATTAAGTTGTTCGGATTCATTCACGGTAGAAGAATTGAACCCGAAATATTACACTGCCAGTAACTTGTACTCTCGAGTTAAAAGTTAAACTTTAATGCGTGTTTTTTGTGCAAGTAGCTATACGGTTCCAGAAAGACCAGTATCATAGCGAACCGTTAGCTCTATTGTGATCGCTGCTGTAGCTATAGTTTATTGTTAAACCTCATCTTCAATAAATTGAAGAAGTTGCTCAGTTTTGAGCAATTTTACTTTTTCTGAGCTAAGTCAATAGTTTCCTAGATGAGTGTTACGTTTTCGCATTATCGGTCAACAATCAGTTGGGATGTGCAGAGCAGAGGTGTTTCCTTCGTTAAGGAACAGAATCACCATATCTTTTAATTTGCCAGATACCGGGATGGACATGTGCTTTTTTAAACAACAGTGTCCAGTCAGGGCTCTTGCCAGAATACGTAGTGTATTCTTACTTTTTTTATTTTGTTTGGATTGCCAACATAAGAAACAGCAATTAATGTTTGGTTACATTACAACGTTACAAATTTTATATGATTAACTGCTCTTATATTAAATTATAGGTAATCATAGCATGCGTTGTGTTACAAATGTTAAACAAAATTGAGAAAAATATGTTCTTAAATAAAAAATAAAATAAAAAATAATGTTAAAGAAATAAAAGTTAAGTGTGCAACTGGAGTTTAACGTACGTCAACATGCTTTAGTTTGGTAATAATTTGAGCAAGGGTATCATGGTGAACGTGAATACTTAATCATATGATTGTGAAATTACGATCATAAGCTTGGATTTAGGTTTTAGAATATTATAAGCCAGATCTTAAGTGATTTATGGCAAAGAATTTCAAGGATCAATTGGGCCAGACTTTCATAGATTCCACGAAATGGCTCGGGTCAAAATTGTGTACACTTATATGTACTAACAATATCCGTATGATCTGGAACCCATCTCAAAACGACCCTGTTGTTACAACCCAGAGAGTTTAGACGGTTCACACAGTTTCCAACTAGCTTCTAAGTCAGTAAGTTTCATCTCAGCGCTGGCAATGCTGATTGACAATCAGAGTCTATATAGATAATATGGTTGACGAGGTGTTTTTGTAGGTTGCTTTCTGCACACCGAAATATGGCGAAAATTCCTACCTGGAAGATTGAGGTGAATTTCCCTAAATTCATACTGAGCTTGAATTTGGAGCGTTTTTCATAAATTCCAAAGCTTACTTCAAGGCTAATTTTTGACCCATCGGTATATCATATCATAAGGTTACCGACCTCACAGATAACCCATTCAGCCAGTCTTCTCTGGAGGGTAGTTACGCTATATATATATATATATATATATATATATATATATATATATATATATATATATATATATATATATAATGTTAATTAAAAGTGTATAGTGGACGCATGATATCTGGTATCATGCATAAAGTCGATGTTTCCTTTATTGAGTCCAATAGGGATCTCAATCTGTAGGAAAGCTAGATCAGACTGCCCTGAGCGTTAATTCTATACAAACTAGCCCTCGCCTCCTAGTCTTAATAAGGATCAAGGGGCTTTAGGCATAGAAGTGCATTAGGAGCCGCTTCAGGCGATGATCGCATCGTTCCAGTAGCCATTAATCAGGCAGTCCTTTGTAGACTATTTAGACAGTCCGTAGGCATCTTTTCGTTGACTTTATTACACAAAACGATGGAGGCGTAGGTAATAATCGGCCTTATTATACTTCTGTACATCCAAAGGGTCATACTGAGACGCAAGCCTCATTTGTTCCCAACCATACGACTGCACGTACCTAAAGCAATTTCTGCCTATGCCATATGTTGCTAAGGTAAAAGTTCCACGTTATTATTACTGGGAGATATTTCAATAAATTATAGAATAAGCAGAACCTTTGTGCGAACTCACTTCATGAATGTTTCTGTGTCTTGTTGTATAAATAAATAGAAATAAAATAAAATAAATTATTAAAACTATTATAAAATAATGAATTGATTTTGTGTTAATTTTATAAACCTCCGTTTTTTATTTGGCGAATACTTGTCAAGTGATCATTTATTTAACTTTGAGGAATTCTCAAGTCCTTACTTGGAGGTTGAATCTTTCCGGCGTTTGTTGTTCGTCAATTAATTTGTGAATCAAAGGTTGCAGTCGCTTTTATAATCTTTAAATTTACAAAAGTAAACTACATATACGGACAGAAATAACCCTAATTATGTGACTTTGAATATCTTGACAAGATATTTATATCTACGAAGTCCTAATCTAAAAATCTCTAATTAAAAAAAACGTTATTTGTGTATTCGTATTCAATAATGTATTATAAAATACCAGACCACGCGATTGAATGGCATTGTCACAAATAATTATAAATTGTAAACTTAATTTCATTTTGACACATTTGATTGGTGTCTATGCATACCTACTACAGAACAACACGGGCCACCGATGGATCGGAGAGGAGTAATAAATAAGCCGGCGTTCCCCCTCTGTCAAAGTATAAGTCCACGTGGTCCTATACCTACAATAAAACTAGTTACAGCCGCACTGATCACTATACAAAATATAGCCCTACAAAAATGTAAAATTGTTCAGCTTTTTTTAAAAAATGGCAGATAGTTTTGTATCGTGGAAAAACGCTATGGCTGCTCCCCTTCGTCCCGCCGGTGGCTCGTGTGCCCTATGATGCATACGTGTTGGAAAATTCAAATTTTGATTTTTAATATAATCAAATGAAAAGTTATTATGCTATGCCTTGTCTATTTTATATATTGACTGTACCTATAGCTGTAATTTTAACATTAAATTTTATATCGTTTGCATAGTGAGCGTCGGAAATATAATATAATAAAAAATAAAAAATAAAATAGATTAAAATACGTAAAGGACCCATTTAAACAGCTTGTAAAAATTAATAAAATAACATAGACTGCGATATGTGTGTGACTGATGTCAACAACACAACAATCTCTATTCGTAATAATCGTAATATCATGCTGTAGAACTAAAATCATATTAAATATTCAAGTGTTAAAAAATATTCTGTTGAGTGTACTTTAAAACAGGAATTAAAAAATTGTAAAAAGGAAAACAATTTTATTTCTCGATGTTAGTTTCCTTCCGCTAAAGGCCGATTCACAAGAAAGTAAACGAAATTCAAATCACGTCCATGTGACGAGTCGGCATGATCGACTACTTATAGTCGAAGGTTCTTTGTAATGTTGCATACTTTGTTAATGAGAATCTTTTACCACTAAACTAAACACGAACGTTGAAATAATACTAGTTTTTTAAGGAATTTATCGCGTATATTTAACTTTTTAATTACCCGACGTTTCGAGAGCTTTACAGCACCCATGGTCACGGGAAGGACTGAGATGTTCAACGTCCAGCTGTCATAGTTAACCGCGGTTACCATAGATTAAAATTTAACTTTTGTTCCGATCTACACAGTATGAACTTATGGTATCATGGAGTCTTGCAGTTGTATGCTTGGGTTGGGATTTAATTTTATTTATTATAGGATCCCAAGCAGATGGTAGCACCCAGCCATCTTCTCTATTGAAATTAGGATGTTTTTTGATTTCAATAGCCTCGCGAATCATCCTTGGAAGGAATCGGTGTTCTTTAGCGAGGATTTGTGGTCTATCAAATCTGATGTAGTGACGGGGGCGATCCTGTACATGTTCACAGACTGCAGACTTCCCGGAGCGTCTTGTTCAGTTCACGTTTCAGTTCACGATACCGGTTAAATGTTAGGTACTAGATATTAGCCGGCCAATATGGTTCAGGCCAGCCTACTAGTTCACCGTTGAACAATTTTTTACACTTTGTTTGCCTATTAAGGATGCCACCCTAGAACCTGTTTCCCTCGATAACTACCAGCCTATTGCTATTGATTCTTTGGACTATGGCAGTACCTCTTGTTCTACGGCTCGGTACCACAGTGGCGCTTGAACGTTTGAGCCTCGCACGGAACTCAAACGCTTTTGTATGGTCTACAATTATTACGTCCTTTTAAAGAACGACATATTTTTAAGCATATCATTATCATCATTATAACCCTTCATAAGTACATTGTTGAACATAAGTTGTGCTAACACACTTTCTATTTCCTTACTCTCATATTCTAATAGAAATGTGTATACGGCTCCACCGGAGGAAGTTCGGACGAAGGACTGAAGGCTGTGCTTTCCGAGGCATGGGGGACGGAGGTGAAACACTGCCGATTTCCCGACTTCCGGCTCCTACTGAAAATTTCTAGACAAAAAAAAACAGATTTCGGTTGACCGGCACAATACTATCCGGTACTGGGGAGCGGCGGTAGCTCAGATTGTTAGCGCTCGCTGTAAATATCACAGTATGCTGAGTAAACCGGGTTCGACCCTCGCCGGCACCAATGAAATTGTTAATTGCAATTATAAGTGTTGATTTACCACGTGCTCGGCGATGAAGGAAAACATCGTGAGGAAACCTGCATGTCTGAGAAATAAGAAAAAAATATATTTCGAAGACAAGTGAAGTTCGTCAATACGCATTGGGGCAGCGCGGCGGACACTCCCTTGTCCTAAACCCTCTCAGAATTTAGGGGAAGCCTGTGCCCAGCAGTGGGACATATATAGGCTGTAACTTTACTTTTACTTTACTACAATACTATCAGCACTCGCGCTTACAATTACTAGACAAATAAAGCAACCGAAAAACGGAGTAATGACTTATCACCTATCATCAATCTTATTTTACATGATGAAAAGGACTAAAAGAATGACTTATAAATATTTTTTTTTAGGATAAAGTGGTGTGGACAAAATGTGAACGACATAACTATGGGGCTGTCGCGCGCTGCCAGGCTGTTAGGTCACGTACAATACTTTAAACACTATCGCGATTTGCAGCCACTGTACCGAGACGGACCTAATCCAGGTAAGATTCAACTATTTTACATAAAATATTTTACAAGAATATCCACCACATGGGATATCATCCCGTGAGCGTGGGCAAGAGGCGATAGAGGGAAAATGATACAGATGAACAGCAGCATCTTCAAACTGCGGTTGGTTAATCTGTCAAAATGAGTCAATATTTCAAGGATGCCCATGTTTAGCAGTGGATTTTTGATAGGCTGTAATAAATGGACGACTGAATAAATTTTATAATAATAATGTCCTCCAGACCGATTTTCGGCCACGGCGGCCTGGCTCAACGGAAGCTAGCCATCGGCGCAGGACAGGATTATAGTGCCCAAGTGTATGCGCAAGCACTGGTGCACTCTCTATTTCCTCACTTTCGTAATCCGATGGGACGGTAAACCGACACGATCGGGAGAAAGATCAGGTGCAGGACCAACGGCTTTACGTGCTTTCCGAGGCACGGGGGTGACACACCGCCAACTTCTTGACTCCGGGCAGCTACTGAGAATTTCTTGACAGAAAAACTCAATAATTGATTTTTTGGCCTGACCCGGGGTTCGAACCCAGGACCTCATGATCTGCAGTCGCACTACTACAATCGCTAGACCAACGAGGCAGTCAAAAATTTATAATATACATTTAATGAACGTTGTTATTCTTTGCCAACCCTCTTGCCAAGCGTGGCAACTTTGGCATATATCCCTCCTATGAGGCAATCTATAGGGAATGCCAGTTTTGTACGCTATATTATAGTTGTAGCACGAATGGGTCGCCTCAACGGGGTCAGCACTACGCTCTCACAGAATACCAGCGTAAAATATATTATTTTATTTGCGTAATGCTGCTGTGTTTCGTATGAGTGTAGAGAACCGGAGATCCTCTGTACTGGAATCGAGGCATTCCATCTTAGTATTCAGGCTGACAACGCATTTGCATTTTGATTCTTAATTGAAAATAAATATGGATCTCTATGAGCCACAGCATACCATCAGGTGGACTGTGTGCTCGTTTGTTACTTAATGCTATAAAAAGCCTATGTTCAGCTGTGGACTTTAATAAGTAACGGTAACGGTAACGATATGTTGTTGTTGTGGTTAACAAGCTGCTTGCCAAGCGTGGCTGTCTATGTTTAGTAGTGTACTTACATAGACTGTAATGAATGAATGAATGAATTGTTGTTACACCTATATAGATATATCTATATATTTATTTTTATATATAATCCACATTGTAAAAAGGGGAATAGAACGTAAGTGGACTAAAGGCAGGGTAGAGAAAATGTTGTGGTAACCTAAAGATGGAACAAAACCTAAATAGTCCTCAGGAACTTGTAAAACAGCGTCTACGACATGTGGTTTGTGGTTTACAGGAAATAAGGTGGGTTAATGCAGAATAAGAAGTGTTGGGCATTATGCCCCATTCACACTCAGCCACTGCTCAGTGTGAATGGGGCTCCTGTCGCTGCCGGAAATATTTCCCTAAATACTTCTGCAGCAAAAACGACGCGAGTGGGTGTTTACACTCAGCTTTCATACTTCTTTATTAATCAACTCGCAACAATGACTGACGTCGAGGTTGTTGGTGTGACAGCATTATGTCTGCTCAGTATAAGTAGCTACTACGTGCAATTTATAGTTTTTATCATGAGGATCCTATATTATCCGCTCAATTTCACAAAGTTTTAAAAATTAAATTCTTTATCATTACTAAATATCATATAAACACAGGACAGATTAATAAACGTGCCGTTTTAAACGTAGCACGTACATTCTCGTTCGAATTTCGGTGGCAAGTGAGTGAGAATGTAAACACTCGCTCCTGCTCGCGCTGCCCGTCCTTTGACCCCCGCGCGAAAAACCGACAATCATGGGCGCGCCGGCAGTGGCAGCAGCATGGGCAGGACAGCCCGAGTAACCTATTTACATACTGCCCTGCCCACTTCCCTGCTCATTTCCCTGCCCAAAAAGGCTGAGTGTAAATGGGGCATTAGAGTAGATGAAGATTCTATTCCTTATCCTCATAATGGGGAAGTTCGTGATTTTTTTGCGATTCCATATACACTTGTACATCCGCTTCCTCTTACGCTTACTCATTACTAAGAGGAATTTATGTGCAAGTGCTAATAATTCTAGAAGCACATTTTCAAATTTGACAATAACTTAAATAGCTTCTTGATGTCCTAAAGTTGACAATGAATTAGATATAATCGTCTGCATTGACAGCTTAGTTATTCTAAAGTCACTTATAACACTAACCATGTAGCGGTGAAATAATATTAACTACCCCACATCATCTCGTGTGTTTGTGGGTATTCGTAAGAGGTGACAGGAAAACTAATCAGGCGATTGGCAGCAACGTCTTCTTAATAACGACTAAAAATAAAAAACTGCGATTGCCAGTCTCCTTGTCGAGCTATTAAGCAACTATGATAAATGTCAATATAAGGCAGTCAATGGGGAAGGCCTATGTTCAGCAGTTGACTTTAATAGGCTGTAACGGTAACAAGAGAAAAGGCTTCCGTAAAGAGAGCCTTTTGTGATGGAAAATGATCTCGAACTATACAGAGCTGTGTGCCTTTCTACCCCACCGTCAAGTGTGCCTAGCGTGTGTCTTTTCAGTGACGCTAGATTAGTTTACGATAAAAAAGCTGGTTGACTCTGCAGGCCATCCCTGGAACTTCCCGCTAATTTTAAATGCAAAGCTCTCCAAATTTCACCAAATTATGACGTTGAATATGAAATATGGAAGTAATTTAAAAAAAAAAAACAATTTTTTTCAAAAATTTTCGTTAACGATATCTCACGAACAAATCGACCGATTTTGACCGCACCGGCGGCGACCTACGTGGATTTTTAAGGTCAGCTCTTAGCTGATTAGTATTTAGAATCGATCGGTAAAGCCGTTTAAAAGTTATTCCAAAAAAACAGTTTTTCATACAGACACCATCGAAAAATTTGTCAAGGTGGTTTCCTGTGATCTCATGCCACAGGTCTGTGTGTGATTTGATGAAAACTCAATTTTTTTAGCGGGAAGTTAAAAATACTTTTATAAAATTCAATCTCCGCGATTTTAATTATTAAATTGTTATTTTTTGTCTAAAATAAAGAATCCACACGCTGTCTTTCTTTTACTTTAATTTAAAATTTAGGTTATCTTGCGAGGTTCTGTCTTTCTCTCCGAAATGCTTTTCTCCATCCTTTTCCACCTCATCATATACTCATATACTAATCCTTATCCATATCCTCTTCTACATAACCACATCATCAACCCTATCGGATATTATGTACTGTAATAGCAACGAGTTACGTATTCGTGTTAGTTATTTTATGTCTGTTAGTGGTAATATTTTCATCAAACTATCCTACGGAATTTCACAACATTAAGAAACATCATACGTAATCTGGGTTACAGACTTTCAAAAATCTTATAATAGTGAACAGAGTAAACCGGCATTTGAGTACTTGGTTTGCGTAATAACAAACATAGATTGGCAACTTGATAAATTAATCATCCGTATAGGTTAGTTTCTCAGCATACTTAATATTTTTTATGTAACGACTTGCAAACTGCCTCAATTTGACACACAGAACATAGAAGTCTCGGACATATTTACGGTAATAATATCAGTAAAACATTATCATCTTCATTTGTGTGTCGATAATGTGACGACGTCTCATTTTCGTAAACTAAGTTTCGTAAACTAACTAAATTCGCTGAGGTATGAACCTTAAACAAAAAGGTGATTTACCGGCTTAATAATAAGTGTTCTGTAAAAACGTTTGAGTCTTACGTACCTAATACCTGAATCCGAAAAATTAAATCATCTTTAAAAAAACTATACTAAGGATTTTTGATAACTATTAGTAGTGTTCGCGAAATTAATTAGAAATCATTACAAAATTATCGTCTTTAAAAGGTTTATGCATATCTAGAATGAATTTTACTTGGTGCAAATAAATTATTACAATACTATGTTTATTATAAAAATGTGTTATCCCTTCGAGATTTTCAACCTTTTACACATTTTCATCGTATTTACATAATGCGATAAAAAGTTATTCCTTGTTTTAACATTATCATTATAAATAACTGATATCAAAATCTAACGTTCCTTCATCATATTTTGCTCGCAATTTCAAAAGACTGTTTATAACATTCGGTATATTTCTGATAATTTATGATTACAGTCAATTAATAAATAATAATAGTCAATTAATTTTCCTTGTACTATTGTCTAATTAGTTTCAATTATTATAATTAACGATTGCGTTATTAAGATATTCTATCGAATTCAGAAAGGAAAACATTGTCGATACGACAGCTGTTTTCGTTCAGTTTTTCGTCAGTACGGACTATGAGACCCATTATATCGGATTTCAAATAACCCACTTTGCTTTTAATTTGTTACTAAAATAGTATATTTTTACAGTCATCCTATGACAGTTTTAACTATATCTAGTAAAAATGACCATATTCTTCAAAACATTCCATTATCGAATACCCATTATGCACAAACTTTATTTAACTTTAACTTGCAGCGTTCCACGATGCAATTGCCGACATCGTCGCGATACAGATGACCTCGCCAGCTCACTTACAAACCTTGAACTTCGTGGAGGCCGATACTGGCACTGAAGCTGACATCAATCACTTGCTTTGGCTCGCATTGGAGAAACTTCCACTTGTTGCCTACGCGTATGTCCTCGATAAATGGAGATGGGATATTTTTGCAAATTCTAGTTTGGAGAATTGGAATGAACATTGGTGGGAACTTAGGTAATACATTTATTTTGTATTGTTAATCCACTAATTATTTATTACTAATAATTTACACTAATAATTTTAACAGTAATATGTTAACTTTACTGTTAATGTTTCACCAAAATTTTAATTAAAACTGCCAAAAATAGTAAAGAATATAGTAAGCGTCATTTATCGTTAATCGGATAGAAGAATATGTTCCTTCTTACCCAGGTGGGAGGTAATAACAGGTAATTAAAAATTCTGTTCAAAATAGGAACATAAAAGCTTACTTTAGTTTTGGTTAAGTTTAATATTAGTAGGTAGTTTGAGCCATTTTCTAGCAGAATGAAATCATATTTGTGCTAGTTGGTATTTTTCACTTCAAGTACTGGCCGAAAAAACAAGTACTATATCATCTGCATAGGTAAATACGGGACCACCTTATAGAATACACAAGTCGTTTTAATATACACCAAAAATAAGTTCGGATCAAGGAAACTACCCTGAGGTACACCATATATCACGAGTTGTGAGGAACTCAGATATGAGCCAATTTGCAGACACCTTATTTGTAAGATAACTATGAAATAAGAATAGCTGGGTTTCTCGTATTCTAGGTAGTTTTGCTTAGAATTCAAGAGGGGAGGGATAAGATATAGATAGAGATCGAAAGTTTAGTGTTAACGCTTAAGCAAGGTCTAGAAGAAAGGCGACGCACTTTTGCTTATTATCAAACTTAATCACAATCATCATCTTCATCAGCATAATTACAGCCCTTCATAAGTCCGTTGCTGAACATAGACCACCCCCAAGGAATGCAACAAAGTACGGTCCTGAGCACCTGAACTGACTTCCTGCATGTCTTACCAGGTTGTCACTCCATCTAGTGGGGGGTTGCCATACACTTCGCCTACCGGTGCTAAACAATACGATTTACTAATTTGTGTACAGTATCATCAGTAGATAGTTTCTTTCGGAAACCAAATCGATTGATAAATTTTTTCAGGATTCCAAATATTTGAAGTGACACACATGCAAAACACTGTATAAAATTTAGATTAACACATGTGATAACATAAACTTTATAAAGATTTAAAGTTTAACAAAATTATATTCATAAATCGCAAATGTAAACAATCGTAGATATAGTTATTATTTTAAAATAAAATTAACTATTTTAAATCATTCACTATGTGTAAAATTATATCAATACCTCACTTATTCACTCACTTACTCATTGTAAAATTATTATCGAAACAAAATGTTACTACAAAATATCTTTATTTATACATAATTATCCTAATTTATAATTTGTTAGTTAAATACCTACTCTTGTCTTTTACCGTTTAATATTTGTCCAAGAGTAGTCGAAGTAATCGGGTCTTAAACATAATATCACCAATAAAAGACAAGATGAGGTGTTCCATTTTTTACCCTGCTACTATACATATTCAATATGTTAAAACTAATATTTGTTTGATGTATGACAAAGAGCTTCTAATACTTATAACGTATAATATACCTATCTAGGTATATTATATAAGCTTTTAAACAAATTTACCTTACCTTACCTATTTATGCCAAGTATTACGATAGTTGCGAATGTGAGTACTAATACAAACATTTATTGGTCTAATGGCACACATTAAGTATGAAATCTGTATGAACACTTAAATAATAAATTTAAAAAAAGCTAAAAAGTCAATCTTTGGTTTGGTGGTTATCGAAAGATAATCACAGCAAAGCAATACTTACAAATCGCTTACTTTGACTGTCGTAACTTGGTTACGCTTGCTTTACAAAGGTTTTGTAACGTTATGTAAGACGAGAGTTCAAGATAGAAAATTTTTGCGTGAAATTTATAAAAACGGAAATAAGTTCACGCTTAAAATTTTGTATTCATTGCCTCTTTTATAATAACCGTTGTAAATTACACATCTTACATCGTAAATAATAAATAGTTTTATTGATTCATTACAGTCTACTTGAATTCCATTGCTGAATAAAGGCCTTGCCCATAGCTTGCCTCATATGCATGATTAGATTGGAAACCGCAGTTTTTTTAATATTTTACATGGTAGAGCCACACTCCAGCTATTATGGTTGTAGCATGAATGGGTCGGCTAAACCGGGGAAGGACCACGCTCTCACAGAATACCAGCGTAAAATAACAACTTAATCCTGCTGTGTTTCGTATGGTGAGTGTAGAGAACCGGACACACGTTTTACTGGAAACGAGTCATTCCATCTTAGTCCTCAGAGGTGACAACGCATCTGCATTTTGATTCATAGTCGAGGATATATGTAGATGTCTATGAGTCACAGCGTCCACTTATCATCAGGTGGACTGTGTGCTCCCCTCACCCTTATGCTATAAAAAAAATTGCGTTATCAGGAAGGCGCTGCTACCGGTTTCATGTTTTAGTTTCCCTCGGACGTAATTGTCTTACAACATCCACGGAATGACATGGGGTAGGGGTAGGTAGTGTATTTCTTACGCCACCACTACACAGGAAGTTTAAAAATGAATAAAAGAAATACATACAACGACACCTGCCTTCAATCGAGGCACCAAAATAAGGGAGCCTTTGATTTCTTTTCTTTTTTTAAATAACGTTAACCCTACAGTAGAATTTTCTTATGTATCGTTGAAGCATTTCACAAACATAAATTGCACAATGACAAACATTAATTACCCGGAACAATTATTTGTAGGCCAATACAAGTGCTTTTTTGTTAGGTAATATGTATAGACATACATTATTTTTATTATTGGACATAAATAATCATGTTGTATTGTTTGTTAAAGAACTAAGGAGACTGGAATATCACCACCGATGCTTCGAAATGAAAGTGATTTGGACCCGGCGGCAAAGTATCACGTCGTATCGCATGTACAGTATATAACGTAAGTTATTACTACATCTCTGTAATGCAGTCCGTTTGACATTTGAGTTTTAAGTTGTAAATGAGATTAAAGGACATTAAAAGTGTTTCTAATTGAAAATAAGTACGCCTACATATTTTTAGCTAATGAAAATTACCGTGCTAATGAGCTAAACGTTTGGCCGTTTTTGTGATTATAATGACTAACCAGGTCAAAACTAAATTATTACGAAAGAAAAAATAGTTTAATGATATAATAAATACCAATTTTAAACACATTTTCGTACACATAGAAAAAGACATTTTTTGGTTATAAATTTGTCAATTGTAAGTATTATGTAAATAAATAATATTTTTATAAATAATATAGTACCAATTCTTTATGATTAGATATCTAGTGTCGAACGTGTTGGAATTTCAAATTTTGTCGTCACTATGCAAAAGAGCAAATCACACGGGACCTTTACACGACTGCTCTATACACGGTGTGCAGGAAGCGGGAAAACGGCTCAGGTAATATTCCGTGCTCATTAGAAAGTCCTTGCAATAATATACGCATTCCCCATATTAAATAAATAATGTGAAGTTCATTTTGATTCGATTATTTTAAAATTGAATATATTTTTAAAAGATCACAGCAATTATAGCGCTATTTTATGATCGCATAAATCAGATTTTGTTCGTTTTTGTAATGTGTGTAATTCATGTCCTTTTTTTTGCAACTTGGTAAGAATAAACAACAAAAATATTGTTTACAGTGATGGAATGGGTCTCGGTGCCAGCGTAGGTTGGAGGAGCGTTCTCCACACAATGACTGGAGAATCAGAGTTATCTACACAAGGAATATTAGAATATTTTGCACCCCTCGAGAAATTTCTACAGAACGAAAACGTAAGGTTGGCAAGGTTAAACGAAGATATGGATAAAAGTGCGCCGATAATTGTAGGGATTATTATGATTGTATTAATTTTATTAATGATAATAGTTTACTGTGTTAAGAAGAGGAATATTTGTAATAGATTTCTTTCTTTGTGCGGACTCGCTAGAAACGGTTCCTTAGATATCGCCACAAATGAAATGACACAAAGCAAATCGAGTGAAGTCATAGGAGTTAATGAAGAGAAGGTTTGATTCATGCAAGACTTGGAACATTGTGAATAAGTATTTTTAGTGAAATTAAAATTATCAGTTTTTATTTTATGTATATTTTTAAAGTGCCACTGATTTGTATGTATATCGTTAAGTAATATTGTTATGCGTTCTGTTACTACGTGGATGTTTATAAATTATTACGTAACATATTTGAATAAATATAAATTGAAATTACTTTATTTCATTTTCATCACCACCATCACAAATTACAGCCGTTTACAAATCGACTGCTGAACATAGAATTCCCCCAAAGGATGCCACAAAGCACGATTCCAAATTACCTGCATCATATTTAATAAATCCCTCCAGTGCGCCGCATTACAATCCAATTACCCATACGAGGCTACTACTAAAGAACCTTTCCTCCCCGTCGGTTGTCGCCTTTTGAGCTATATGGACAGCCTATTGCCACTTCGGCTTACTGATGCGACTGATGTTGAACTCATATTAGAAATATTGGCAGTGCAAGGGTATCGGCTCTGGGCATATGAAATCACCTGCCCAGCGTGGTAAGTAAGGCTAAATTCAACAAATGCGTCATTGCAGTATGTAACGTATATGTTATGAACCAAGTGATTAATCAGGGCACTATTTACAACGCCCGGACAATATGAATAATGACAACGACTTAGGGACGTTCAAGAAAAGAGCTTACTCCTTTCTAAAAGGCCGACAAAGCACCTGCGGTTCCCCTCGTGTTGCAGTTGTTTATGGGCGGCGGTAGTAACTTAACATCAGGTGATCCGTATCCTCGTTTGCGTCTTCTCCTATAAAAAGTCAATTGAGGCTACGTAATTAATACTGATTTAAACTTAATTATTTATCACATTGTCTGATCATAACCTAACCTAGGTTAGCTATCTTTTTATTAATAAGTAACGGACTTTATTCATAAACGGCAACACCACCATATTTCACCAAGTGACACAACAATCATTAATTATTTTAATGTGGTCATGGTGGGACTGATGTGTTTGACGTCCTGATGTACATATTTTACCCGCGATACCTTCAGCTTTTATGTATAAATGTTTGCTAAGATATACACACAACGAACTTCCGAAATCTTGAAGTCCTGCAGATGTGTGCTGAGTTTGGATTTTTTAATTTTATTAGTTACTACCTGTTTCCCGTGACTCCGCCCACGTGGAATTTATTACAATCAGATTTTATGGATTTTATTACGCGGAACCTTAATTATTTTTCTAAAACATAAATAGCCTTAGTTACTTCTTATAACATCAGCTATCTGCCAGTGAAAGTCCCATCAGAATACGTCAAGCCGTTTTGGATTAGCCGGAACAGACAGACAGACAAACATTTTAAAAATTGTTTACTTTTTGTTATAAGTACCGTAAATATTTTCATATGCATTCAGTTAAAAGCTGTTATTTTGACATTACAAACAGGCACATCAATTTTATTAATTGGTATAGATATGATCTCAAGCATATGGTATTATCCAGCCATCTTCTCTATTGAAATTTGGATGTTTTTTAATTTGAAAAGTCTCGCTAACCATCCTTGACAGGAATCGGTGTTTTCAAGGGCCTTTGACTCAATTAACACAAATTTACTGATTTCGAAGCTTTTATATTATGGCTTTGATAAAGAAACACTCAAGTGGTTCAAAAGCTATTTAACTGACCATCGTCAACAAGTAATTTTAGACGGGTACCATGGTAAAAACTGTGTCTCTAAGCTTCTTTCTGTTGATAGAGGTGTTCCTCAAGGTTCCGTGTTAGGGCCGTTTACAGGTATATATACCCAAAAATCGAAAAAAATATAATTCAGTAAATAAGTTAAATCATCTTCAACGTTTTAGGGATTGGTCACAAAATAACCATAGATTACTGAAAATAACTCTATGGTTATTAATCTTAAATTAGTAGTAGTCAGCACAGCTATCGGACGTGTTATTGACAGCTCCGTCGTTTTATTTTGATATTCGTGGTTAAAGTTCTAAAACGTCATCGAGTTGTATATAATTCGTAGCATAATTCCTCGGCCTTGTGTGAATATATAAATTGTGTCCATGTCTTAAAAACTGTGAGTGCTATAAATGATTTTATTTCAAGATTAGCCCCGTGATATTGATTATAAGTGGGTTATCCATACATTTGGTGGACAATATATTATTAAATACCCACTACAATAAAAAATCTTGCATCTATATTACGATACAGATCAATATTTTCGTAAAGTTATATCAAAGCGCTTTGGCGCATAGGTCTGTTCTAACATCCTGAGACCGTGGTTCGGTTCTCCCATTGTCGTCCGTCTTTTTGTTCTTGTTTTTTTTTCCTAAAAAAATATATTTTAATTTATTGTTGGTTTTTGCTAGTTCAAATAAAAGTCGAGGTTCGATCGCCAGCTAGTGTTAAAAAAACATCATTTACACAATTAGTCACGTTACAAATTATACTTTATTAATGCATTTACGTATACCACAATGGAAAACAAAATTTTTTGTATTGCCTGCAAAGATTTGCCACCACCTCCTGGTAAAAGAGAAAAGTGTTTATGTATGCACTGCAGACAAGAATACCATTTAAAATCTTTTGAATATTGATAAGACTGCTTTCTCTAAATTAGACGGCCAAACTAAATCTAAATGGAAATGCCCAACTTACTTTAATGTAACAAATCGACCCAAGGGAGATATTTCGAACACACCGGTTAGAAAATCAGTGCCGTGTAATGATTCAATAATGTTCTGCGACGACTCTCTTCCAGTTGAACATTCGGAAATTTCACTAGGTCCTCAGCCATCAACTTCTATGTGCCCTTCTCTAGGATAAGAAGTTACATTAGAGAGTATAGCCGGACCTCTAGATGTGAAACTCGATGCCAAATTAGATGAAAAATTTGAATCACTCAAGAAATCATTCTATATTAATATGAAATCATTAATCTAAACGGGAATTGTTACATCTATTGATCAAGTCAAAATTGAATTTACCGAAACTACAGGCTTTCTACATCAGGGGCAAAAATAACTTAAGTCAAATATTGAATCTGCTGAAACAAAAGTTAATGCACTAGAAAAAATTGATACCGATCTAACGAACAAAATGAGTGTACTGCATTGTTGTTTGGAATCCATAGAAAAAATTTCCCGCAGTCACAACGTATTCAAGCAGTTCCCTAAAAACGGAATGAGAATATTTTAACGCTTGTCAAAAATATTTATACCACAGTAAAACTACCAACGACAGACGCTGAAATTAGTATGTGTCGAAGGTTAGCTAAATTGCCGACCACATCAGCCCAATGCCCGCGTAATTTTTTGCTTTCGCTGCCTTCCATTCGGCAATTTGATAATTTTCTGTCAGCGGTCAAACGTTATAATAACGCTATCCCTGGCAACACATTTAGCTCTGTACATTTATGAATTCAAGGGGACAGATGCCCAATTTACGTTTCCGAACATCTGTCTCCGGTATCCAAGGAGCTTTTTGCTTCGACACGGGCTACTACTCGTGGAAAATATAAATACGTATGGGTCAAATTCGGAAATATATATGTGAGAAAAGATGATAATTCTTCAGCAGTACATATTAAAAACAAAGATTGCTTGGCTAAAATTAGTAAATTTATTCGTATTATAGTATTTCACTTTTTGTTTTTATTTATTTTGCATTTGTGTTTTGTATTTTTTTTTGTCTTGAATGTTAATTTACGCTTACTTTTCATATGTTGGGCGCTGACAGAATAACGGCGTTGTAGGCAACTGCAAAACTTATGCGGAGCTAAAGCCCATTCATTACTACACAATGTAATTTTGGTTATATTTGTGTACTAATCACTGCTCAGCTCAGCTTCCAACACCAGCAAGTAATGCAAGACAATAAGCTTGCACCTACGTCACAGTGACTGAATGACACCAGCAATGTTCGAGCCTATGCTTGCTGTACTATCATACGTCAGAGGAGTCACGGACCACATTGGCTACATCTTGTAGCCAGCTTCCATAAAATCTTACTACCCACCGAAGAAAATGAGTCAGCTTTTACCATCCGTCAACTGTATATTCTCCCACAAGATGCAGGAGTGTACAAGCTTGATTGTGAATATGACCTCACCTATATTAAGACTAGCAAAATGTTTAACAAAAACCCGCATAAAAGAATATATAGCTGACGTAAAGTCGGTACTTTACGTCGGCTATATATTATAGCATCGTTGGTACGCTCTGAGAAGTCTGCAGTCTGTAAACACGTTCAAGATCGTCTCCGACTTTACATCTGACTTGATAAACCACATAGCCGATGATGATTCCATAAAGTCAGCCCTCCACAGAGAAAAAAAGAAGATAAGATATTGCGATAAGCTCAACCTTTGAGATAACTTAAACGTGATACAGCCATGCTGCAGCTATATTATATTATAGTTGTAGCACGAATGGGTCGGCTTGACCGGGGATGGAGCACGCTCTAATAGAATACCACGCTCTAATAGAATAGTCCTCAGGGGTAGCAACCACCCCCCCGAACGGGTTCCCGCCTTGTCGTGGCGGGGGGGCTTAGTAGCCGTGGCTTGGTCTCCCACGGTGAACAAAGAGGAACCCACGTGGCTGGCCCGAGGTGAAGGGCCGGCCTGAGTTGGCCGCTCCGAGTGGACTTGGGGAGCCCACTTCGGATGTGTGCTGGTGGACTGCAGCGAGCAGCCGAGGTGGAGTCGCGGAGGAAGAGGAGTGTTGGTATGGCGATGCGCCACTCGCCCTATCCTTCGCGACTCAAACGGGGCCGCACCGTTGATGCGGTGGTGGTGGGGCTGCGGGGGGAGAGGATTGTCGGTATTGCGAGGCGCCGCTCTCACTATCCTCCGCAGCCGAATCTTGGTTGGCGGCGGAGCCATAGACCAGATCCGCCGCTGGGGTCGGGAAGGCTAGTACTTCTAAGTGCTCGTTTTTCCTGGCCCCATGGCCTTTGTGCATCGGACGCGGGGGCGTCTGTTGCACAGACGTAGTTGGAGGC